GACTATAAGAAATAAACAAAAATGGTGAGAAATTTCTAAATTTATGTGCATTCAACAAATTGGTTATAGGTGGTACAATATTCCCACACAAAGGAATGCACGAAGCTACATAGGTCTCACTGGATGCACTACCGAAAATCAGATTTATTGTATTTACTTTTACCTTCTTTCGATTAGAGATATATATTATAACGGAACAAACACTTCATATTTCACACTGATCTGTTCGATGTTCTCTTATAAAATCTCAGAATCAGCTGTTGAATTGGGTCATTTTAAACTTTCCATAAAACAATTACTTATGAAGCACTAAGATAATTTTGTTCTAAAGACGAATCCTTTCTTAATATTTGGAATAACTATTTATTATTATGGATTATTTTACTGTTATTCCTTATTAACGCCACTATATTGAATAGCAATTTATCATGCGTTTAATTTATTTCTAAATAAAACTATGCCGTTGTCATGATAAGTAACAATTTAAACCGTTTTAGTGTAGTAGATACATCGATGCGTAAATTAATGATTAATTTTCGTTTTTTGTGGGTAAAGATGATATATAAGCGAGAAAGTATCATTAATTAGGCTTTCTTTCATTGCCTTCGTTCCACTTCGATTACTCGATTCATTAAATGTATTAACAAGCTTACTCGTATGTTTTCCAAATGCTAAAAATTTATACTATCTATCTGTATACAAGCAATGGACGAAAATTTTCTCTAGAGGGAGTATTTTATTTTGTGATAAACGTCCACATTGGGTGATACTAAAAATTTTCATGATCATTATGCTTCCTTAAATACATGGTTCATTTAAACATTAGATTCTTATAAAAGCTTACTGAAGCTACAGACTTAAACTCAGGCTTAATTTGTTCATGTTTCGAATAATGAGTTCTAGTTGAACCACATAAAGGTTTTTTGTCCAAGAAAACTTTATATTTTCCATTCTCTGATCAATGTTTCACATATTGCAAATGTTTTACTAGGGAACATCAGATAAATATGCATCACTGTCTAGCAGAAGTTTCCACGGACAACCATTCATTAGTTATTCTTTTGTAACGTTTGAATTGATTTAATACCATAAGCCGCAGAAATATCGATGCCCCTAACATCATGCCATCGTGATTCCTAACAAACTGAGGATTATTATAAAGTACTACAATTTGACAAAATGATTTTACTGAAGCTAAATACTTCTGGTCACAAAATGTATTAGGTTTTTTCAAATTGGCAAAGCTAAGGTAGTTGGCGGTTCAATTCAGTTTTCTGCACCGTTAGGTACATAACATAAGATTTATATATCATTATCACTCAGTTAATGTGAGACACAATTATCGCAAATCAAACATCTTTTGATTATAAAACGACAGACAGTTAGTAGAAATGATTCCCAGGGAAATTCATGAATACCAGATTAAAAAACATGAATGAAAAAATATTTTGAAGTACCTGTTCACAAAATTTTCTTCTATAACATACATCCCCTAAAATTATAGTTGTTTGTTAACAACTCAAATATTTAGAAACGTTCTCTTTAAGGAAGAGGGATTATATCCTTCAAAGGACGTAAACACAGGGAATGGGTGCAAGTCGACAGTCTTTTTCCTGGATATTTATCAAGGCAGTGTAGTACAAGATGGAATATATTACTAAGGGTCATTGGTCGATGAACAATAAACAATTTCATAGTTATATATACAGTAATTTAGGTGAACTACAAAAATTATTTCCCTTTTATGTATTCGTTTTCATTTTCCATTTTCAGACACTAAAAAGTAGTTTAAAGCCTACTTTGTTCCGAAAATTTGAATACTTCATCTTTTCACAATACTTTTATTAGGGAAACTAGATTTTTAAATTACATGATTTCCTCTTAGTTAATCTGTCAAAATCTAAAAGTTTGAAAAATTCCCATATTGTGATTTAGAACAACATATATAAGCGAACAATATTGTTTTCGATTAGATCCTCATCAGGCTATACTCTAATATACAGTAATATTTATATGCATATACGAAATTATTAAACCAATCAAGGCAGTTTATGAGTCAATGATAACAGTGGAATAGATTACATAATCAAAATTAATAATAAGTAGAAAGTACAAATTGGTAATGTAATGACAGGTGTACTAGTTGTGATAAGAATAATAAAAGGCTTGAATCAATGTTACATAATAGGAAAATAGGTCAATGATTAGAAAATATAGACACTGAAATAACATTCATAGAAATTATAAGATTACGTAATAAGAAGTGTTCAGATAATTGGAAGCGAACATTAGAAAAATTATAAATAATTGATAGGGGGGGGGCGAAGAAAAATAAACGAAGAAAGAGTATGGAAAATAAGATTATTTATTAAGGCCAAGGGAGGGATAAGGGTGTTACAAATTTCTTATGAACACAAAGACTTGGGTTGTTGGATCGAATTCCTATAGCTTCTGCTATGTGTAGGAGACGAGATCGAACCCCATAAGGAAAAGTAGTAGGAATACGATAAATAACTTTAAAAGACTGGTTTCTGTCAACTTCATGACCGCTATCAATCAAGTGTGAAAGAATCGAGCTCCGTATCGACTTGACAATACCTTTTCCTAACCACGAAGGGAGGTGTTCACTAACTCTTTGGTTCAATTGTCTGGTAGTGCGCCCAATATAGCTTTCTCCACAGGAGCAGCTGAATTTATAGATACACATAGAAGTGGCATAACCAGGCAACTTGTCCTTTAGTTGGGGAATCACCATAGATCGTGTCGAGTAAGACAGAAAGAGGTCGGCAGCATTAAACGTTCTCTTAACTGCTTTAGTCAGTCTATCCCGTAGTACATCATCAGCTGAATCGCCGTTGAATTGTAGTTTCAGGAAGAGTGGTTTCTTCGCAGCTGTTGATGTCTTTACTTTCTTATTTGTTGAATGTAAATGTTTCTTCAGGAATCCTAGTGGATAACCCCTTTCAATCAACATATTATGGATAACCTTTAACTCATTGTTGATAGAATCGACTGAGCAAATCTTCCTAGCTCTATTTGCCAGATATTTGACTAAGTTCCTTTTATAGTAGATAAGTACGAAGCTTAAGAAGTGTGTGTACTGGCTAGATGAAGAGCTTTTCCTAAACACACTTCTATTGATGGAGCCGTTCGCTTTTTTTATTAACAATACGTCAAGGAAATTTAATTTATTATCTATTTCCTCTTCACATGTGAATTTAATAGCTTGATGTTTATTATTAAACTGTTCGAGTAGTTCGACTTTGCCAATGTCCAATGTTGCCAATGTTACGTTAGACAGATTACAATTAGAGGCTTTGTCGCTCGGCCCTAGATTCCTGCTACTAACAGTCGTGAATCATAACTATTATTAGATACATAGTGACACAAAAGAGGTAAATTATCCTTTTAAAAAATTCACAGACTGATACGAGACATAAAAAAGAATTACAAGTATAGAATCTATAATATAAGTTGAAGCTCGGTAATGAAGGAGGATGATCACTGAAAGTATTAATCTCGGAGTAGTGAGACAATAAAAATATTGTTATAATAAAAGGATCGTCAATGAATGACTCTATATGGCAAACGGTACGAGGTTCGAGTCCCAGAGTGCACAACTCTGAGATGCAGGTACATCCAGGTGACGAATTCCGAATAGGACGAAACGCGCGTCAAACTGGATTCCACCGCTAGCCACTATCCATCTTTGTTTAGTTATTTTGTCTAAAAAGTTTTTTTTAATTTTTACGATTGTAAATCAATGTTTACTTGCCATGATTTTCGTTTCTTCGTTTTTAAGATTCATTGGTCTATCATTTAATGACAATTTTGTTGAGGTTGCAAGGTTATTGAATTTACCTGTTGTTAATGATAAACTTTCTATACCTAGACAATTTAAAAATATTGGGAAACCGTATTGTATGATAAGTTCACTTTGTCTTAGATATTTCATCGTGGAAACTCAATACTCGACCAATCATTCACACTTCTTGAAAAGAAATGTTTCTGGAAAAATTTATCTTAACAAACTGATATATTTCATACTTTCATAGGTAGACATGTCCATTTATGTAAACATAACCAACTCCACTATTGATGTCTTTGTCACATGAACACTTCACCTTATTACGAAGTTGTAAACAATTATTGTAATTGAATTGTACTTGATAATCATTTTTATACACCAAGATATTTGTAAGTACCATGTATAAAAAATATAGCCAAATACACTTCAAGCTCTATAAATCAATGAAACATTCAGGTTTGGTTATTTTATTCAGATTATTGATAAAATCGTCATAAAATCACACAATTGAATATTTAAAATTGGGGTTGTGAATCCGCACAGCTGAGGAGTCCCACAATAGCACGGAACGGCCGTCCAGTGCTTCCAGATTTTCTATGGTGGTCTAGCTTCAATTGACTCATTATTTCAACTATGTATAGAAAGCTTAAAATATTTGTTTAACAAACATTTTTTTTATTTTATAAAACACTTCTTCATCTGTATTTATTTATACATCGACTTTACATGTGATGAGTTTGGACAGTGGAATAATGTAAAATTATCCTTAATTATCTATCAGGTAAAGAAATAATTTGTATAAATGATTATTAGTAAAATTACATTTACATATCATAGATTAAGTGTACAGTTCATCAAAAGAACCGGTAATCAAGAGTATAAGGACGCAATGTTTAGTATGGTGATTAAGAAAACACACATTTAAACTTAAAATAATCATTATATTTATATTTCATCCTGTTGTACGTGTTAACAATAAGTTGACAAGATTATTTCCACTTATGATCTACATTGTTTGTTGTTTTTCTAACTAAAAAAACATAATTGTGAAGATATACCAATCTCATATTTATGTATAAACTAAGGTCACAAAAAGAAAAAAAAATTACCAAAGGCCTATATGTATATACATAATGAAATGGCTTTTAACCCATAATAAATTGTGATTCATTGAAAATGTCATCCAACTAACCTGTCACAAAAATATGAAGTATTTCTTGACCCAATGAATTAGTTACAAATTTCACTGATGCTTCTATTACTTTACGTGTAATTCGAAATTGTCCTATTGATTTTCCCTCTGTAATTGTGTGTAATTTGAAGTTAGCCGAGAAGTTTTCATTGTTACAAAATATTGATCGTAATACTGAATGATTACCTATGGAAAAAAAGATAATTCATCATAAAACTATCCATACTTTTTTATATTTTGCATTGTTAATAATTGTAAAAGCTGTATTATATATGAACTATTTCAAAATAGGTTGTTATTTTTGAATCGTCAGTTAGATTTTATGAGAAATTCGTATCAACTGAAAAGCAAATTGATTCAATGCCACCACTTCATAAATGATAATTCTTTGTTTTTGAGACACCGACACAGTTTTCAGCAACAATCTTTATATCTTACGTTTAGCACTGTAGAATAAAATTAGGTTCAAATAACACTAAACTGTGCTCGTAACTTTGGTAGTTAAGTTATTCAATAATATGGCTTCATTGTTTAACAGCCGACAAATATTAATAGAAAAATGTTTTTACATATTGTCAAAACAAACAACCCTTTACCGTCCTTGATGAACCTTCTTTGTCTTAACCAAATGGCGTACTTAGAATTATAAAGTGTTTGCTGTAATCCTAAGAAAACCTAGCAATAAATTAATATATATTTTTATCAGCCAGTGCGTACAAATAACAGATTTGTGATGTTATTCACTGAGTGAACTTTGTTTCATAAACGGAATTCAATACCAGGCAACTGTTTTGGATAAATGTCGGATCCACCTGCCGAAGTAACAAATGAAATAGTTCAAGAAAGTATTATCCTAAGAAAATTCACGTCTGAATGAAAGATTCGTAATAAAATCTCATAAGTTTTGTTATGCATCAACAATTTACATCATTCTGAAACGAGTTTTACACATAACGTAAACAATAATATTGTCATCTATTTTATGTAGAGTAGTTAGTTCAAACTATTTGTAAGTGGTCAACTTTTACTCAAATAATTCAATTACGCTTGCTTTTATCAGGTCATTTATATATTCAGCAATGACTAATATAATATATGCTCTATTAGATCTAGAGGTTTGTTAAATTAGGTTTTAAAATAATTTGATAGACAGAATTAACTAGAAGTGCACTGTTGCGTGTATTTAGATTAGGAATTATCTTTTTTTCCCTTTATTAAACATAATTCTGATTTTCGTTCTTTTTTTTGGTGAACAATATAAAATGGGAAATACATATGTCACTGTTTTTCTCAAAAATAATCACGATCATATATGATAAATTGATCGTCGTAAGGCATTGTTTTCATAAGTAACCTTTCTTTAATCAGATCAAACATTAGAAGTAAATTTGTTATTTTTTAAATGTTGCTACGCATTAATTATTGTAGTTTCGAATAACCTTTCTATTAATCTATTTACTATACAGATATGAACAAAAACGTATTGTAAAAAATAAAATACTTTTAGTCTTTATAAGCAAAGATGGATAGTGGCTAGCAGTGGAATCCAGGACGAGCGTTTCGTCCTATTTGGGACTCGCCAGTCTTTGTAGTTAGAAAATATAATGTATACACAGATATAGTTTGTAAGTAGTATATGTTAATAACAAAGTTATTGTGGCTAACAGGTATGGTTAATTTTAATCTACGAATCTTGTCAGTTATTTTTACTGAAGGTATATAAAAATCTTTTTGATAAAAAGTATGTATTATTTTTATATATTCACCGCATGATCTAGTAAGGCTGTGGACTATTTCATAAACTATGTGTATTTGAAAGTGTTTCTACATCGAATTAAAATCCACATAGAAAAACGTTTATTTGCTCAACAAAAAGACTAGTCATTTCTTTTACAATTGATTAACGTAATTTAATAGAGCAAAATCATAATAAGTTTGCGGAATATTCGTCTATGATTTATAAATAAGGCAGTACCTGGTACATTAAGCATGTTATCGAAGGTTCTTGAACGAAAGTTTAACATTTACAAATGGATTCTACACAGAAAGTATTCATTCATACACATCAGTGCTCCTTCAGGCAATTGTAAATTAGATAAATGATTTCAGGGACACTCAATTTTGAATCAGTTTTAACCACAAAGTGACTTTTCATGATTCACTTCTAGGATCAGACAGACGTTAATTGAGTATTTTCAAAACTTAGCTGTGCAACTTTGAACTTCCCCTTAGAGGCATTTTAGAAAATTAGCACATTGGTTTTGAAAAACGAAAACTGGTCCCTCATTCAGGACCGAAACCATAGAAATGTATTGATTCATACTTGCTTTAGGTCTATGGATTGTCCTATATTTAGTATATTGGTTTTATAGGATAATAATCTCCTAAATAAAGTTCGGATCCAGTTTTTAATAAAATCAACCAGTTGTAGGAGTTTTTCGATGAAAATGGATATTCAGGCTAAACTAAATATTCACAAGATTACCTGACTCGTTTATAATCAATCATTTTTTTCAAAACTACCCGTGAAATTGATCCTCCGTAGTTTTGGTGGAACTTTTTTACCCGTAAAGTCAACCAATTTGACGGCGAAATAAGCACTTATTAATGACGCTAAATAAGAATAACTATTTTACCAGATAAAAGCACAACGTTTAAATTGTATCTTGTTCGCTAAGAGATTTCACACAGCTACATCGGTCATCACTAGTGAGAAATCCTAAAGTAAGACAAATCATCCATCTAATAGTATATGGACTTTAATTCATCAGCTGAAAATTTTTTTATCTAAAACTTTAACTGCATCGAAATGTTCTCAGTTAGTTTGAACGTTTTTTTAGACTATTATAATAATTATTTTGGACGCTTGCACGACATAACACTTTTTTAATGACATCAAATTTTGCTAACGAGTAATGGATTTATCTAGTTGTTGTTCCTGTAAATATCGATCAATAGCTCTAAGATTTATTAATGAAGAACAATTGTCTTAGGTGAATTACTTCAATCTCCAAAGTAGGATTTAGTCTGAATTTTTTGTTAGAGTAAGTTAAATTGAACAAAATGATTACTACAAACTATTTTTTAATTATATTTAATTCAAACAATTATTATTTTATGTATGTATGGCAAGTGATTACTTTGAGTTCGGTTTGTATGTTGTTCATTATGAAATTAAAATAAGATGGATTGTATGGTCAATACAATAAACTGACAATTTCTCCCTTTCTATCTGTTAAGGTCACCAAACTTATAATTAATTTAGTTGTGGTATAGTTTATAAGTTACTACAGTAGTCCTCTATATTTGTCAAATAGACTTTTATGATAGTTTTTATTCGTTTACAAAAACAAATGGTGGTTTTTATAAAACACTGAGTTTTATAAGGACAGATTTATTGATAATCGAGAATCATAATCAATTTTGGGATGGAAAATTCAAAACTTTTTTCTTTACACGTTTTTTGATCTTTTGTTTGAGACGTTAATTATATATCTGTGTATTATTCTGTATATTATATAATATCCCATAGATAGTATGATTTATTTTGTGAAAACTATTTCAAGAAGTAATATTTTGGAACCAGAACTGAAAATAAGCGAAAACAATTACATGATTTTTTTAATATATAGTTGAAATCATGAGTCGGTTGAAGCTAGACCACCATCGAAAACCTGGAAGCACTGGACGGCCGTTCCGTGCTATTGTGGAACTCCTCAGCAGTGCGCATCCACTATCCTGCATCGTGAGACTCGAACCTAGGACCTACCAGTGTCGCGCAATAGCCTTAACCGATAGATCACTGAGCCGGCATCGAATGGTGTTAATGTCTAACTTCAACCAATTCACGAAGTCGAGCAACCATTTCATCAGTGTTTTCAGTGAGTTGATATCTCCCAACAGACCTGGTTGAACTCCACTGGTTACTGTTTCTCCCTAGAACTCTAGAAAATACCACATGGAGCCAGTCACTAGTGAGCATATGATAAGGTGGTTGTTTGTGGAGATTTTTAGTAATCTATCGAGGTGGGATCGTGAATGCACACTTCTGAGGAGTCCCACAATAAGACGAAATGGCCGTCCAGTGCTTCCAGGTTTCCCATGGTTGTCTAGCTTCAATTGACTCATGATTTCAACTATATATAAAAAAAACTACTAAAAACCTCCACAAACAACCGAAATACATGATTTGTTGAAAGTTTTACCGTCGATCTTGTTTTTTTCTTACTTTGCTTTTAGATAATAACAAATCACTAGATAAGAATGTATAAATTTTGTGCTACGTTTTAAGTTGATATCTGTTCAAAATCAATCTAATTGGTATAATTAGATGTAAACAACATTTATTATATAATCGTAGTACTTATAATGTGATAATGTACGTTTGACAGAAATTAGGTTAAATGACAATTTCCTCAATTATATAACTGGAGGCATTAAACACTTATTGCTTGTCAGCATTCTTTAGCAAAACAAAATTAATTTAAACAAAAAAATTAAAAAACCTATATTATTTTAGATTCCATGTCATACAGTACAGGGGTTAAATAACTTTCCAAAGAATTATTTAAGATACTATCTACTACTTGTGTTGTGATGGGATTGAATTATTTTAACAGTAGGAATCAACTATATTATTTGGTAATTTTAATTCATTCAATTATACAGAGTAAAAATTTATTCCCTAATTATTGAAGTAAAAAATCCCGTTTCCATCCTATTTTTATCAAGATACATTATCCATGACCATAACATATGTCTATTTTTTGTATTACCTATATCCTACTTAGAATTTACCAGTTTACTATCAAAATGTTTACTTTTATGCTAACTTGATGCTGAAGTCACAAAAAAGGATATATTTTGTCGAATGATTTCATTGAATACCAAATTGTTTGAGTACTATCTAGAATTCGGTCAATAGACTATTTTTTATGTAGTCGAAATGCACTAAATATATGAATCTAGTGTTCATCATATTAAATGTGAGATTATTCTAAATTTAGAAGAAATATGAGATGGTGGAGAAGATTTGTAGCTCAGGTGGGTGATTTTTATGTTGGTTTGTTCTCTGAGCTGGATGGTTTGGTCGTGGAGCTTTCATCGTCCTTCTGAACGACATCATCAGCACAAACTTCGGGTAGAAGTGAAGTGTTTGAATTTCTCCACATGTGATTCACAGCTTG